CTGACACTCACTCTGTGTCCTTTGTTTTAAACCCAAGAGAAGTCTTTCTCATCAAGAGTTCCATGAAACCCTAGGATTCCTCTAGGTGCTGCCAGGGATTCCCAAAGCAATGAGCAAGGGTGGATTGATCTCCCAACTACACTGACCACCAATGTGAGGGGACAGCATGATTTTCACACTTTGTGTTTTTTTCAGGCCACTATTATTATTTGTACCATTTCATGTTATTACTGAAAACAATCTTAAACAATCTTGTCGTATATCATATTCTTACTAGAGGTTGACAGGGGATCCATGAGTTGTGAATAATGGTGAATATCAATCTCCAACCTACACTGCCCATCAATGTAAGGCGGCAATTTTTAACTGACATCCAATGTAAGGTCTCACCACTACCATGACCATCAATCTAAGGGCTCACCTCTACACTGACCATCAATCTAAGGGCTCACCTCTACACTGACCATCAATGTAAGGGCCCACCTCTACACTGAACATCAATGTAAGGGCTCACCTCTACACTGACCATCAATGTAAGGGCCCACCTCTACACTGACCATCAATGTAAGGGCTCACCTCTACACTGACCATCAATGTAAGGGCTCACCTCTACACTGACCATCAATGTAAGGGCTCACCTCTACACTGACCATCAATGTAAGGGCTCACCTCTACACTGACCATCAATGTAAGGGCTCACCTCTACACTGACCATCAATGTAAGGGCTCACCTCTACACTGACCATCAATGTAAGGGCCCACCTCTACACTGAACATCAATGTAAGGGCTCACCTCTACACTGACCATCAATGTAAGGGCCCACCTCTACACTGACCATCAATGTAAGGGCCCACCTCTACACTGACCATCAATGTAAGGGCTCACCTCTACACTGACCATCAATGTAAGGGCCCACCTCTACACTGACCAGCAATGTAAGGGCTCACCTCTACACTGTCCATCAATGTAAGGGCTCATCTCTACACTGTCCATCAATGTAAGGGCCCACCTCTACACTGTCCATCAATGTAAGGGCCCACCACTACACTGACCATCAATGCAAGGGCCCACCACTACACTGACCAACAATGTAAGGGCCCACCACTACACTGACCATCAATGTAAGGGCTCACCTCTACACTGACCATCAATGTAAGGGTCCACCTCTACACTGATCAGCAATGTAAGGGCTCACCTCTACACTGACCATCATTGTAAGGGCTCACCTCTACACTGACCATCAATGTAAGGGCCCACCTCTACACTGACCAGCAATGTAAGGGCTCACCTCTACACTGACCATCAATCTAAGGGCTCACCTCTACACTGACCATCAATGTAAGGGCCCACCTCTACACTGAACATCAATGTAAGGGCTCACCTCTACACTGAACATCAATGTAAGGGCTCACCTCTACACTGACCATCAATGTAAGGGCCCACCTCTACACTGACCACCAATGTAAGGGCTCACCTCTACACTGACCATCAATGTAAAGGCTCACCTCTACACTGACCAGCAATTTAAGGGCTCACCTCTACACTGGCCATCAATGTAAGGGCTCACCTCTACACTGGCCATCAATGTAAGGGCTCACCTCTACACTGGCCATCAATGTAAGGGCTCACCTCTACACTGGCCAGCAATGTAATAGCTTTTCTCTGCACTGCTCATCAACATAAGGGCTCATCTCAACAGTGACCATCAATATATGGGGGACCTTCTCCATTTGCCATGTGTGTAAGGGTACACTAAAAAATTCACTGTCTGTGCTTGTTTTCTGGCTATTATTATTTTTTTCTAAATATTATTGAAAATAATTTTGTCAAATAGAGCAAGGGGTAGTCCTAAAATGATCCCCTCTTGGTGTCAAATTTTCAGTTTACTAAGCACACTAATATACTATGAGCTGTAGATATATATTTTTTTAATCATGGCAAATTGTTTCAAGAGTTCCTCCAGGCTAACAAGGTTGAGAACGGCTGCCTTAGAGGCTGTATTGTGTAGAAGTCCCAGGAGGCCATCAGTTTCAGAAATGCTGTAATAACCAGGCACAAACAATCATTCCATTGTCAAAGTTACAAAGATCTTCCATCTTCCAAATTGTAATATTTGGTCAAAATATAATGGAACCGCTTAACCATGTCTGCATTATTTATTATATAGTATAGTATATATACAGTAAACTCCCTGTTATCCTGGATCCACAGAGATTGGTAGATTCCAGATAAATGTGATTTCTGGTTGCTTGAGAGTTACTATTAAAAATAGGTCTAACTAATGCCATACCCCATACTATAACATATCAATTTAAATGCAGTAATCAAAGGCAAATTAAGACAATCAGACACACGATCGTTTCCAGGATAATACATGCCGCAGATCAGCAGAACAGTGAGTACACAGGAGATTTTTTTTCTGGTTAGATGAGAGTTCTGGTTAGTTGAATACTGGATAACAGAGAGTTTACTAGAGAGAGAGAGAGAGAGAGAGAGAGAGAGAGAGAAACATACAGTATATATATAATCCTCTGTATTCTGTATGTACCCCTGTGTTATTTCTGTGTAAATCTGATCTGAACGTATTATGTAACAAGAAAAAAATGTTGGGGACACACAGTTGCCAAGGCTGATTGGATCAGACTAAATCAGGTGATCAAAGTTCTATGAGTCATTGAATATAATGTAACCAAGATACGAATGTAATCATTACGAGGCCGAGTGTAGAATCTGAGAAAAAAAGTGTAATAAATGACAAAGTAAAGTAACAGATGTACCAAATCAACATAACGGCACAGAAAGGTTGTAGAAATACACTAAGGATGTAACAGTAGCTTATTGTAAAAACATGAACTCTAGCTGCCAATAGCTGACTAATCAGAATGGTTGTTCTCCAACACAAACCATTCCATGGCCTCCATGTCATCAGACTGTGACTTATTCTACCTCTCTGGATTCCACAAACAAGACCTTGCATTATAAAAAAAAACATTAGGGCCGATTTACATCTATGCGGAGCAGGAATAGGTGTGTTACCGCATTGCAGTGACATGCATTGTGAATAGCACCCCAGTCCACTAAGACAATGCATCCATTTATAGATGAACTCTGGGTATTTTAAAAATGAACCTTGCAGTGAGGCTACCCCACACTACAAGGATTAAGTGCACGTTTTGGTCTAGGGTCTAAAATAAAAAAGATATACTCACCTGATCCTCTGTCCTGCCCAGCTACAAGACAAGCCCCTGCAGTCTCTTCTTGCCTGGGCTCTTGCAGTCTAAGGATTCATAACGTCATCACGTCCATTGGCTTTCAATGGACGTGAAGATGCCGAGGGACATTTCATAGCCAGAGGAGGAGGAGAGAGGTGAGAGGTCACCACTGCGGGACCAAGGATCAGGTGATTGTATCTTCCTTATTTTAGGCCCTAGACTAATATGAGTGCTTAACCCTTACAGCCCTACTGCAAGGGTTCATTTTTATAATGCCCAGACCTTTTCTTTAAATCCCATTACCTCCGACTCCATCTAGGTCTGGCACAAAAAAAAACCCAGTAGCGTTCCATTTTGGCAGACCTGACCGTGACAGATAGGAGGTAATCAGATGTAAACAGAAACATGTCCGCTAACATCCGACTCTCCATTGATCTACCATGGGCCCTGTTAGTCAAAAGATGAAGGAAAAAACTAAACAGACACGGAGTGACATCTGTCCTCTTCTGCTCCGATCAGCAGGAGATCTGTGCATGGATTCCCTGCTGATTGGAGTGAATGGCCCTCATGGGAAAGGGAGCAACAGTCCACAGTTACGCCCCATTCACACCTGAGCATTCTGTGGCTGCACAGGAGGAATCCCATTGATTTCAATGGCCTCGGTTCACATCTGAGCATTTTGACACTTGTAGCAAAACACCTGTAGCTCGAAAAACTACATGAGCTTCTTTGGGGGGCAGAGATGAGCATTTTGACCTCAACAGACTTCAATGGAGCAGCTGGAAATAGGCTAAAAAAAATGTGTTTTCTTGGATAGTACCTAGATTTTCATTGGCTAAAAATAATCATAAAATAATAATAATAATAATAAATAATATGTTCAGGCCTGAAACTAGATCTAAAACAGCTGTACAAAAAAAGACACTCAGCTCAAGTGTGAATGCGACTTAAAAAAGAACTCTGGGCTTTTTAAACATTAAACCTTGCACAGGGGCTACTCCAAGGGTTGGGTGCTCATTGTGATCTAGGGGCCAGAATAAAGAAGATACCCCCACCATATCCTCCATCCAAAAGCTTTGACTGCTCACCTCTAACCCCCTCCACCCCAGCTGTGGAATATTTCTCAGTGTCCTCATGTCCAATACAAGTCAATGGAACTGTATGAGACGTCATGACGTCAGCGGTACTTAGATTGCCAGAGCCCGAGAGGAAGAAACTACGGAGATCGCTCTAGCAGCCAGGCAGAGGATCAGGTGCGTATATTTTCGTTTTTTAGAACCTAGACCAAAATGAGCGCTTAGCCCGTGCAGTGTGGGGGTAGGCCCACTGAGGGGGTTAATTTTAAAAATGCCCGGGCAATTCTTCACAGAGCTCAGCAGGAGAAAATACAGAGTGATCACATTCATTTGTGACATCAGAAAAGATACTTTGTTCCTTTTTGTGATACAGAACTTTCCATCCAGAGACCTTCTTCCATATCAAGGCATTCCTCCCATAACCAGAAGACAGAATACAGAGAGAGAGGACAGGTGCCGTGCTACGCAATACTCTTTCAAAGTTACAATCCATCTCCAGCATGTCTAAAGGTATCTCTACGCTTCACAGCCGCCATGACACATCGGCAATAACTCAACACAGACCAGACAAGCGATAACCAGCAAGATGTGGAGCGTGTCTCTGCCAGCACAGCTCTAACACGCTGCTGGTATATCTGGTACATCACAGCATCGCACTGCCGCTTATCAACGCTCTCTCATCAAATGTGTGAAATGAACCGCAACACTCACCGAAAGCATGTCGTCAGCTCTCCCGTAGACTTCAGGCACGGGTACTTTGTGGTGGTGATCTTACTCTCCGAACACACTTCCCTGTGGAGGAACAGCAATACAAAAACCTATTATCGGATGCACAGGAAGGTATGAGGCTTAATAAGCAAAAAAACAACGTGAGCGGTTTCAACTATTTAGACAATGTTTCTGCGGAAACCCGTGCGTTATGGAAACGCATGAGAATGCACATTAGGGCCCATTCACACCCTGCCTTTAAGTAGCTTGAAGCTCCAAAACGCTGAACACAAGGAATCCCATTGTATTCTATGGCCCCTGTTCACACTAGAGCGTTCTGCTCACGCCTGTGAAATGAAAAACTACATGAGATTCTTTTGGGGACAGATCTGAGCATTTTAATTCCCATGGAGTTCAATGGAAAATCCTTAAAATGCGTTTTTGCATGATGTCACAGAAGCTACTGCTTTCCATGGGGCCAAAGAGAATAAAAATTCTGAAGGTGAATGCCTGCAAAATGCTTCAAAATGGAAAAACTCAAAAACATGTTTGAAAAACACCTCAAAAATGTGTGAAAATGCCAACGTCTGGGTGTGAACTATGTGCATTGGTGCGATGTGGTGCCATTCATTCTAAATACATTAGGATGCCATTGGGTGCTATTCTGAATGACACCATAATGCACCAGCCAATGGACTTGGTTTGCAGCTGGGGAGTAACTAGAAATCACAGGGCCCCATAGCAAAATTTTGTATGGAGCCCTGCGATTTCTAGTTACGCCCCTTGCAGAGCCCACCTGAGATCCCACACATCCCACCTGAGAGTGACCCTGCAGAGTACACCATAGACTCTCTATGGTAGGCTCTGCAGGGTCTCAGGTGGGCTGGTGACACCCTTGCACACCTCTTACCTGTCAGCCCTGATCCGCTGTCAGCATTCTCCACCGCCAGGCCCCGCCTCCTCCTTGGTCACCAGTGGGCCCCACCTCCTCCTTTACCGCCGCCGGGCCTGGCCTCTTCCTCTTCCACCACCACCCTTGGGCAACACCTCCTCCTCCTCCTCTTCTGGCCTCCTCCACCACAGCTGCTGGCTGTCACTGACTCAGCAGCGGCTGTGAGGAGGAACGCACCGCTGCATAGATCACATAGGTTGTCAGTGATCTGGACTGCGGCGCGTTCCTCCTCACAGCCGCTGCTGAGTCAGTGGCAGCCTGCGATGAGACTTCTGATATGAAGTGGAGCTCCTGATGTAAAAGAGGGGCTACCGATGTAAAGGGAGCTCCTGATATAAAGGTGGAGTCCTGTCATGTAAGGGGGGCACCTGATGTAAAGGAGGGGTCCTGATGTAAGGGAGGGCTCCTAATGTAAAGGGGGCTCCTGATGTAAAGGGAGCTCCTGAGGTAAAGCGGTGCTTCTGGTGCGAACGGGGGGCTGCTGATGTAAACGGGGGCTCCTGATGTAAAGGGAAGCTTCTGATGTGAAGGCGGTTGATGATGTAAAGTGGGGTCCTGATGTAAAGAGCGCCTCCTGATGAAAAGGGGGGCTCCTGATGTAATGGGAGGCTCGTGATATCAAAGGAGTTAAAAAAAGGTTTGAGTTCTGTTGATCCAAACCCCCTATAACTTGTCTACCTGATTCAATCACAGGCTTCTCAAATAAAATCAGATGTTTATCATTATCTTTATAGAACAAGTTATATCCTTGTGCATCCTGGAAAGATTTGTTACATTGTAATATAATAATAATAAGAATATTATATCTTTCACAGCAAACCATCACATCAGAAGCACCCCAGGAACTCGTCAATGAGGAGCACACAATACAGACTACACCACTGAACGAACCTCCAGGGGTCTGCAGCTGTCTGCCGGCTGTGATCGCACTTCTACAGTGCAGGGACCGCACAGCACTGTGTGAAGGAGAACGGGGAAGGTCAGGATGACGATGACTGGTAAGGGCCACAGGGGGGGTGACCTCACCTGCAGCTACTGCAATGTGTCACCAGCCATGACATTTCAGAGATCAGGAACTCACCTGTCACTTTCCACCTCCTCCCTGTAGGTCCAAGCCAGCCCCAGGGGCAGGAGCAGCAAGAGGCAGCCCAGGCACAGGCAGATCCTCCGGGCCCCTCTCTCACACATTGGCCCCTGCTCTTTTCCTGGCTCCTATGCCCTGCTGGGTGAAGTCTCCTGCGCCCACCTCTGAGCTCCACTCGCTGGAGGGCACACGCACGCAGTGCCGGGGATGACCTACAGGGGGCGCTCCGGAGACCGTCAGTGCCGGTGGAGAAACTTGTGAAGTTCGCAGCAGCCGCAGCGCTGAAGTCGGGCTCCGGTCGGTGTATAACGCTCCGTACAGATCAGAGGCAGAGAGCGAGACAAGTCAAGGACGAGATCGGAGTCGGGCGATTCTGGATCAGGGAGTCAAACGGCCAATCTGATCATCTGTCGGTTCCGGATTCCTTTCCCGTAGATCGTCTGCTAGTTCTGGCTCGTGTGTACTGGGTCTCCTCTGATTGCCTGCAGTAGATCCCTTCTGATCCTTGCAGATCACCTATACAATCTGGATGGCTTGCATTGGCTTCCTTCCGATTTCTGTAGATCTCTTTAGTCTGGATCCTTTGCCTGAGATCCCTTTGGACTGTCGCAGGTCACCTATCCAATCTAGATCCCTTGAATAAGTTTCCTGATCCGTGCAGATCACCTATGCAATCTGGATCCTTTGCACTGGCTTCCCTCTGATTGCTGTAGATCACCTCTTTAGTCTGGATCCTTTGCAGTATCGCAGGTCACCTATGCAATCTGGATCCTTTGCATTGGGTTCCTCCTGGTTGCTGCAGATCACCTCTGTTGTCTGGATCCTTTGCCTGAGATCCCTTTGGACTGCCGCAGGTCACCTATCCAATCTAGATCCCTTGAATAATTCTCCTTCTGATCCTTGCAGATCCCCTATGACGTCCTTTTCAATCGTTGAAGATCACCTGTTTGGTTCTGGATCTCTTCAGTAAGTCAGCTTCTGATTTTTGCTGATCACCTTTTCAGTCTGGATCCTGGACATGAGATCCCTTTGGATTCTTGTAGATCCCCAATTGGACCCTGTGCAGGATATTGCATACAGATCACCTCTGCGATAGATCCTTGGTCCTTCTAGGTGGAGCAGATCACCTGTTGGATCACTTGCAGCAGGTAGGTAGGTGGGTAGGTAGATCCCTTCTGCTTCTTCCAAATAAGCTGTTGGGACCCTTCTACCAGATCCCTTTTGCTTCTTTTTGGATCTGTGTCCTCAGCTGTAGGATCCCTTCTGATCCCTATGGTAGATCACTTTGGAGTTCCACTGCAATCACGACCATTGGCCCCCCCTATGTCACCAGGAGAGTGTTGGCTCAGCTCTGTCTTTTCCTTCTGAAGGTGACCTGATATTCTGTAAGTACTCTCAGTGCTTGTGGCACAACGTTGTATGTGTTCTGTCCCAGTCCTGGCTGTGCTATCCTCATGTACAGTCACCTTCTGTATGTGTGTTGCTTGCCTTGCCTGTCATTCAGCTTCTCAGCCTCTGTGCTCTGGGTTTTCCTTCAAGGTGGGATTGATTTCAGGCTTTCATGTGACAGTTTTGGATTGTTGAGTTTCTGGGATGTTTTTAGTGCATAGAGGTCCAGTGATGAGGGAGGAGGGGCTGTGTGTGGTGTGAACCATCAATCAGAGGGAGAGCTGAACTGCTTCTGAAAATGCTGATCACCTGGCTGTCATTACGTTCTGAGTCACTGGCCCAGAGCAAGTGAGACTTAGAGCTCCTGATCTGCACACTTGTTCCAGTTCAGTGACTTCAAAATAATTAAAGCCAGTGGATGAGCATGACAGCCAGGAAACTGGAAAGGTCCTGCAGCACCCCTATTTCTTCTACAAGGGTTAATTCACGCAAATACGTATGTTTGTGTCCATAGGATTGCATGCATTCACGTATCTATAGGATTGAATGCGTTCACATGTCCATAGGATTGCATGCATTCACGTATCTATAGGATTGCATGCGTTCACATGTCCATAGGATTGCATGCGTTCACATGTCCATAGGATTGCATGCATTCACGTGTCCAAAGGATTGAATGCGTTCACGTGTCCATAGGATTGCATGCGTTCATGTATCTATAGGATTGCATGCGTTTACATGTACATAGCATTGCATTCATTCTCGTATCCATAGGGTTGCATGCATTCTTATGTCCAGAGGATTGCATTCATTCTCATGTCCATAGTGCTGCATGCATTCTCGTGTCCATAGGATTGCATTCATTCACGTGTCCATAGCATTGCATGCATTCTCGTGTCCATAGGATTGCATTCATTCTCGTGTCCATAGGATTACATGCATTCTCGTGTCCATAGGATTGCATGCATTCTCGTGTCCATAGGATTGCATGCATTCTCGTGTCCATAGGATTACATGCATTCTCGTGTCCATAGGATTGCATGCATTCTCGTGTCCATAGGATTGCATGTTTTCACATCTGATACCATGTACTGCATATCTGACGTCAAATAAAGACATATCGATATGCTGTACCTTGGTGTGCGGGTGACTACCTTCTTCACATAGGACAGTGTGGCCACAATACTCTGCACGCAGGTATCCACATGTATACTCTATACACTGCAGGTGAACTTGATTTGGAAAGCACATGTTAAAGAATAACTCTGGGCAAATAAAATCTTCACCCTTTCAGTGTGGCTACACCAGCACTGCAAGGGTTAAGTGTCCATTTTGCCTAGGGAGCTAAAATAATCCACGGCTTCCTCACGCCCTATACACTGTATTGGACATGATGACTCACGGGATCTTCGTCCACTGGAGCGGAGGGAGAGCGAGACTACGAGGACGGGTCTAGGAGCCAGCCAGGATCGCGATTCTGGTGAGTATAATTTCGTTATTTTAGCTCCCTAGGCAAAACGAGCAGTTAACCCTTGCAGTGCAAAGGTAACCCCACTGCAAGGGTTAAGATTTATTTGCCTGGAGTTCTTCTTTAATACTCCTGTGTTTAAATATCCTAAACACAGGGTTGCTAGTGTTAACAGGTTAGGGTAGGTCAGGAGAGGGGGGCAAAAAATGATAAATGACTTATCTTTTAAACATTTTCCTTCTATTGGATACCCCTCCTGTTAAGCAACGCAGGCCAGTGCTGGTGTTGTAAATGAGTCCTTATGGCCAGAAAACATTTACCTGTAAGAAAATTTAATTGCCGAAACATTTTTTTTCATTTTGGAGACAGTAGGGAAGAATTAAAACCCATGTGAGTTTATTTTTTGCTGCCACCCATTGGAGAGGTTTCCCTTTCACTTCCTATCCGTAAAACACAACAGGAAGTGAGGGAGAATCTTTGCAGAACGAGGGGAAAAATCTCTTAGTTGTCACCAAAACAGGTGTCACCATTGGAAGATTTCCCCTCGCCTCTTGCTTACATTTTGGATTTCTTCCAACTTTCTGTCGTGGTGACCGTGGACAGATGAATGGGGTGAATCTACACAACGGGTGCACAGCAATTAAATCTTTATAGGGGTTCTTATTGTTCCCCAATATCTAAAACTAAAAAAAATCATACACTTTAATTATTCAGAAGTACAATGCCTGACTGTTTCCTTTCTAAAAAGTGAACCTTATCATTTAGGCCTTGTTCACACCAAGCGCGGAGCAGGTGCAGAGCAGATCAGTTGCAGACCGGATCAAAACTGCGTCCAAATTATTCCAATGGTATTTTTTGCTCCAGTTCACATCGCAGCGTGCAGTTCCAGAGCAGGTGAAAAAACTGCAGCAAGCCCTATTTTACCTGCTCTGGATCTGCAAACGCATCAAAAACGCGTGCAAATGCCTGGAACGCACTAAAAGCCCATTTTAAACTTTAAACTTTTTTTTTTTTTTTGTCAAAAACACATCTAAAATCGGAAACCTGACCGGATCTGCTCTGCATTTGGTGTGAACAAGGCCTTACAGATTTCAATAACATTGGTGGTCAGTGGGAAGAATGCCCCTTACATTGGTGGTCAGAGAAATGTTCTTTACATTGGTGGTCAGTGAGAAGAATGCTCCTTACATTGGTGGTCAGTGGGAAGAATGCCCCTTACATTGGTGGTCAGAGAAATGTTCTTTACATTGGTGGTCAGTGAGAAGAATGCTCCTTACATTGGTGGTCAGTGGGAAGAATGCCCCTTACATTGGTGGTCAGAGAAATGTTCTTTACATTGGTGGTCAGTGAGAAGAATGCTCCTTACATTGGTGGTCAGTGGGAAGAATGCCCCTTACATTGGTGGTCAGAGAAATGTTCTTTACATTGGTGGTCAGTGAGAAGAATGCTCCTTACATTGGTGGTCAGTGGGAAGAATGCCCCTTACATTGGTGGTCAGAGAAATGTTCTTTACATTGGTGGTCAGTGAGAAGAATGCTCCTTACATTGGTGGTCAGTGGGAAGAATGCCCCTTACATTGGTGGTCAGAGAAATGTTCTTTACATTGGTGGTCAGTGAGAAGAATGCTCCTTACATTGGTGGTCAGTGGGAAGAATGCCCCTTACATTGGTGGTCAGAGAAATGTTCTTTACATTGGTGGTCAGTGAGAAGAATGCTCCTTACATTGGTGGTCAGTGGGAAGAATGCCCCTTACATTGGTGGTCAGAGAAATGTTCTTTACATTGGTGGTCAGTGAGAAGAATGCTCCTTACATTGGTGGTCAGTGGGAAGAATGCCCCTTACATTGGTGGTCAGAGAAATGTTCTTTACATTGGTGGTCAGTGAGAAGAATGCTCCTTACATTGGTGGTCAGTGGGAAGAATGCCCCTTACATTGGTGGTCAGAGAAATGTTCTTTACATTGGTGGTCAGTGAGAAGAATGCTCCTTACATTGGTGGTCAGTGGGAAGAATGCCCCTTACATTGGTGGTCAGTGAGAAGAATGGTCCTTACATTGGTGGTCAGTGGGAACAATGCTCCTTACATTGGTGGTCAGTGGGAAGCTGCAGACACCCATCTTAGAGCCAGCAGGGATCAGGTAAGTAAAAATGCTTTAGACAATCCCCATAGACAAGAATGAGCAGTTAACCCTTGCAGTGCAAGAATTTTTTTTGTTTTTTTAAATCTGCAAATAGAATTTAAACTGATTAGTTTGTTTTTTGCTGGCTAACTTTTAAAGTGTG